TATTTTACACATTTTAACATATTCGATCGTAAAACCATCGAATTTGTGATTTTCAATAAGTTTCTCAAAACTCTAATATTTTACACATTTTAACATATTCGATCGTAAAACCATCGAATTTGTGATTTTCAATAAGTTTCTCAAAACTCTAATATTGTGCATATTTTAACATGTGCGATCATAAAACCATCGAATTTGTGATTTTCAATAAGTTTCTCAAAACTCTAATATTTTGCATATTTTAACATGTGCGATCGTAAAACCATCGAATTTGTGATTTTCAATAAGTTTCTCAAAACTCTATTTTTACATTACATATTCGTTGTTAAAACCACAATATCATAACTCAAAACTCTTATATTTTGCATATTTTAACATGTGCGATCGTATAACCATCGAATTTGTGATTTTCAGTAAGTTTCTCAAAACTCTTATATTTTGCATATTTTAACATGTACGATCGTAAAACCATCGAATTTGTGATTTTCAATAAGTTTCTCAAAACTCCTATATTTTGCATATTTTAACATGTACGATCGTAAAACCACCGAATTTGTGATTTTCAACAAGTTTCTCAAAACTCTAGTATGTTGCACATTTTAACATGTACGATCGTAAAACCATGGAATATGTGACTTTAAGCAAGTTTCTCATAACTCTTATATTTTGCATATTTTAACATGTACGATCGTAAAACCATCGAATTTGTGATTTTCAGTAGGTTTCTCAAAACTCTTATATTTTGCATATTTTAACATGTGCGATCGTAAAACCATCAAATTTGTGATTTTCAATAAGTTTCTCAAAACTATTATATTTTGCATATTTTAACATGTACGATCGTAAAACCATCGAATTTCCGATTTTCAGTAAGTTTCTCAAAACTCTTATATTTTACACATTTTAACATGTACGATCGTAAAACCACCGAATTTGTGATTTTCAACAAGTTTCTCAAAACTATTATATTTTGCATATTTTAACATGTGCGATCGTAAAACCATCGAATTTGTGATTTTCAGTAAGATTCTCAAAACTCTTATATTTTGCATATTTTAACATGTACGATCGTGAAACCATCGAATTTGTGATTTTCAATAAGTTTCTCAAAACTCTTATATTTTGCATATTTTAACATGTGCGATCGTAAAACCATCGAATTTGTGATTTTCAATAAGTTTCTCAAAATCTTATATTTTGCATATTTTAACATGTGCGATCGTAAAACCATCAAATTTGTGATTTTCAATAAGTTTCTCAAAACT